CATACACTTATTACCAGTCATACACTTACTGAACAAGTCATTATCAAGAGTCATACACTTACTGAACTAGACATCATCAACAGTCATACACTTACTGAACTAGTCATTATCAAGAGTCATACACTTACTGAACTAGTCATCATCAACAGTCATACACTTACTGAACTAGTCATAATCCAGAGTCATACACTTATTGAAATAGTCATACACTTACTGAACTAGTCATCATCAACAGTCATACACTTACTGAACTAGTCATCATCAACAGTCATACACTTATTACCAGTCATACACTTACTGAACAAGTCATTATCAAGAGTCATACACTTACTGAACTAGACATCATCAACAGTCATACACTTACTGAACTAGTCATTATCAAGAGTCATACACTTACTGAACTAGTCATCATCAACAGTCATACACTTACTGAACTAGTCATAATCCAGAGTCATACACTTATTGAAATAGTCATACACTTACTGAACTAGTCATCATCAACAGTCATACACTTACATAACTAGTCATTATCAAGAGTCATACACTTATAGAACTAGTCATTATCAAGAGTCATACACTTAATGAACTAGTCATCATCAAGAGTCATACATTTAATGAACTAGTCATCATCAAGAGTCATACACTTATTGAACTAGTCATACACTTACAGAACTAGTCATAAATTGTATATGTTAGTGAAAATTTTCAGACAAATATTTCTTTATCTTTTTAGACATCATTTGAGATAGCAATCTGCTATCAATCAGTTAGTCAGGAACATTTCCAATTGCTTCAAAATTTATTAAAAACTGAAATTTGGTTTGACTAAAAACTAAATGGTCTAAATAAAAAGATGTACACTTGATTTAAACATATTTTATTGACCAAAGAGAATCAAAGGAATATGACACAAGTTTCGAGATTGAAGGAAAGTCCTTTCTCACAAAACATTATATACAATTATTAAGATTCAGATAGAGATGACAAAATATAAGTATAATGCCAATGAATGCAAGAAAGGAATTAAAAAGGTGCACAGAACAACAACAAAAACACAAAGTATAAATAACCCTTCACATGGGAATAGCACAAAAAAAGTTTAGAATTTTTGATGAATTGGTGTAGAAGTAAACTAAATTCCAAATTGAGGATATCATATAGATTAAGATCACCCCAAAGGGGTGAAACACAGAGATAATTTACTGATCAAATGGTCCCTTGCAGACTTAAATAATCTGCACATATTTATACTTAATGAACATTCAGTCATAGTCATAAACTTACTGGACAAGTCATATAATAAGAATCATACACTTCATGAAGAAGTCATCATCCACTCATACAATTAGTGAACTACTCAACTACTCATACAGTTAGTAACCTAACCATCATTCAGTCATGCAAATAGTAGCCTGGCTATCATTCAGTCATACAGTTAGTAACCTAACCATCATTCAGTCATGCAAATAGTAGCCTGGCTATCATTCAGTCATACGGTTAGCAACCTAACCATCATTCAGTAATACAAATAGTAGCCTAGCCATCATTCAGTAATACAAATAGTAATACAAATAGTAGCCTAGCCATCATTCAGTAATACAAATAGTAGTCTAGCCATCATTCAGTAATACAAATAGTAGCCTAGCCATTGTTCAGTCTTACAAATAGTAGCCTAGCCTTCATTCAGTAATACAAATAGTAGCCTAGCCATCATTCAGTAATACAAATAGTAGCCTAGCCATCATCATCATTCAATAATACAAATAGTAGCCTAGGCATTATTCAGTAATACAAATAGTAATACAAATAGTAGCCTAGCCATCATTCAGTCATACAAATAGAAGCCTAGCCATCATTCAGTCATACAAATAGTAGCCTAGCCATCATTCAGTCATACAAATAGCATCTCTCATACTCAGCTGCTACATATTCATTTTTCTGTGTTAACTAGGCAGACTAAATTTGAAAAGAAATATTTTAAGGACGAATGTTGAAGATAGTAGAGGATTAAACACTTCTTCTCAGATTTATATGATATTTAAAACCAGCATGCTGAGGGATTTTCAAAAGTAAAGGGTTATAAATATCATGAAAAAACACGGACAAGTGACTAATCTGACACATTTATGTAAATAACTTTAACAGAAAAAGATAGCTTGCCAGGCACGGTAACATAATATGAACCTTACCAGATGTTAGAAATAATAAAAAAATCTTTAGTGGCTTAATAATGAATTTGCAAATAGTCTTTAAAATATTTATTTCAAAGCAAAACCTCAAAAACAGTTTATCAAATCATCATGAAATTCAAACATGAACAATGGCTCATCAACATACCATCTCTGTAACCCCTTATATGATTATTACCAATTTCGAACTTGACCAAGATATTTGCTAGGGTTGAATCCACTCAAATACTTGCATTACAAACTTCTGTTTTACAAGAAAGACAGCTACTAAAGTCGAGGGTTTAACAGAATGCCGTCATAGATTGACATTGTAAAGATGCACCGCCTCAACCTTATTGATAAAACAAATTGCATGGTATTATGATATTTACAACATACAAATGAATGTAGAAATATATAGTCTGGAAAACGAGGTACCAATTTTCAGAACATCATGTTTGTTGGAATTTTTCTTAATCAATATGCCACTCTATCAAATAAATGAAGTATGACAACCTTTCAAATTAAATAATCAACTTAGTCTTGAGAGGAATTCTTATCAGGTATTAACAATAACCCTAATTTGATCGATTTGTGGATGTCGGAAAAATTATCTCTATTGTCAATGAAAATGACATTAAAAGTCCTTTTTTTAGTGTAATCTGAAAACTGTGACTATTAAATACAATTATACACCAGAACTGTTCAGTTGACAGTACTTATGCAGGGTGCGTTATGACAATCAGGTACATACGAAGGGGGGCAGATTAAGGCACTACACAAATTCAAATATATCCCTGCAAGCTACAAGCTTGAAGAAATTTGAACAAGAAATATATGTTATGTATATGCGCACTTCACAAATTCAATATTTCCATCAAATTTAGAATTTGATTATACACATACATACCAAGTTTGATGAAATTTGGAAAAGAAAGTTGTTAGTGCGCATGGGCACAATTTTAATTTAATATGTCCATCAAATTCACAATTTGTTTATATACATAAATACCAAATAAGAAAGTTAGTAATGCGCATGCGCACAGTACAAATTCTAAACAGAATGTTATATATCAATGTTAACTAGAATTCATCCTGTATATAATTCATATATTTTAATATTCTTAAATCATCAACCACTTTTCATGGTATCAGATTTGGAGAAGAAAAGACAGGGTTGTGCAATTACTCTCGAGTTTAGTGGCAGAGCCAGGGAAAAAGCCTTGGAGATAGATGTCGAAGTATTAAATTCCTATGACGGATTAAACAAATTGATGGAAAAATTAGATGAACTTTTTGAGAAGAATAAGGTTGATGAAGCGTATAGCACATACTCGAGCTTCGCAAATTTACAGCGGAAAGCGAGTGAAACGATGTCGGACTTTACTTCCGAGTTTGAAAAGCGATACAACAAGTGTAAAAAAACATGGGATGGAATTACCAGATACCGTGCTTTCATTTAAACTACTAGACTACTGTGATTTTTCTCCTAATGAAAGGAAATTAGCATTAGTAGCAACAGCTGATCTGAAAGACGAAAACATAAAGTCGGCTTAGACAAGAATATTCGGTAACGAAGGTCAAGGTCATACTACGAGAAAGAAGATGGGATTGTTGTCAAGCCGAAAGAAGAAGCCTTCTACACCAAAAACATACCAAGTTACCAACATTTTGATATGAGACATGCTAGAAACAACAATTTCGTCAACAGAAATAACAATAACTCTATTGGTGGACATTCATTCATAAATCCGGTTGATAGGAATGGTAAGAGAAGTAGATGTGTGATCTTTCAGTCGATATTTCAGTGGGCACGGGAATGTCCCGACAGAGACACTGAACGAGTGAAATATACCTAGACTGGTGTGACAGACTAACATGTGACTTTATTTGATAAAGAAGAAAATATTACAAATCAAATATTTATGGTAGAGTGCTATGGTAGTGGTGTCATTGACACAGCCTGCACAAAAACAGTAACTGGTAGAAATTGGCTTAACAATTTTCTTGAGAGGTTAAATGAAAAAGAAATATCTCAATAATACAGTAGCTGTAGACCTCCATAAACTTGATAAAAATCTGTGGTATTTGCACATAATTGACGAGTTTACAAGATTTAGTGCAGGTGCTATTATAAGAAGTAAGACATCTTCGGTATTTGTTGACAATTTTATTAGACTTTGGATCGGTATTCATGGTGCCCCAAAGAGTCTGTTCAGTGATAATGGATGTGAATTCAATAATTCACACGTTAGAGATATGTGTGAAAATTTCAATATGGAATTTAAAACAACTGCTGCTTTTAGCCCTTGGTCCAATGGTTTACTAGAAAGGCACAATCAAACACTTACAAACATTCTACACAAGATACGAGCTGAGAAGAAGTGTTCCTGGAAGCTATGTTTAAGTTGGGCAATAATGGCAAAGAATAGTCTAGTGAATACAAATGGGTTTAGCCCGTATCAGTTAGTTTATGGGAGGAACCCTAATCTACCATCAACAATCATCGATTTTCATCGATCCAACAAATTGTTGGAGACCATATTTCAACTTTAGTCGCTGCGAGAAAGGCATTTATAGCAGAAGAAAGTTCAGAAAAGATTAGACAGGCTATTCGTAAACAAATAAGAAGAACAGAGGGTCGTATTATCACTGGTGATATAGTATTTATAAAAGGCCTGATGCCTCAGAATGGAAAGGTCCAAAGACTGTCATTGGCCAAGATGGAGCAGTTATATTTGTATGAGGTATGAGGGTATAATGGTTAGAGTACATAAGAGTCAACTGAGAATAACTACAGATTCAGAAAGACCAGAAATAGAGAAAACCTCTAACGATACAGAGGTACCAGTAGATGTTAATAAAAATGTTATGGTAGATTCTGATGAGGAAATGCAGATATCGAGAAACAAAGCTTCCATAGAAATAGAAGCAATTCCTGATAATACCAGTGTGGACTTGTCAAGAATAAAAACTGGTAAGACTATTCAATTTAAATATCCAGATTCTGATGAGAATATCACAGCAAAAGTTTTGAGTCGAGCAGGAAAAGTTGGCGGCATATTTTTGGAATTTAGTGGACCAGAAGAACTGATATCTGTAAAACAATCGGTTGATCTAAGTAAGGTGGTGGATCTAAAGTTAAATGATGTGATTAAGATGGAAGAAAATGTTGTGATGACGATAATGGAAAATTGTTAGGACTTCTAACTCGTCATGTTGATGACTTCATTTGGAGTGGGACAGTAAATTTTGAATCTCATGTTATAACAGAAATAAGATTAAAATTTGATATTGGTAAAGAGGACAGTGCTGCTTTTAGATATATTGGAATTGAATTGATTTGAGATGTGATGAAAAAGGAAACATAAACTTAGATCAAAATAATAATGTTGATAATTTGATGCCTATTAAAATCAAAATGAATAGGACATTTCAGAAAGAAGAACTGTTAGATGAGATTGAAAAGACTGCCTTGCTTCTAAAATAGGCCAGCTGATTTGGATTACTCGACAAAGTCGGAAAGATGAAAGATGCTCGTGTTAAAGATGTGAAGTCAACAAGATAGTCAGAAGTGTGAAATCAGATAAGTCAAATCTGTGTTATAAGTATTTCGGTGAAGGACAACTGTCCTTAGTAATATATAGTGATGTCTCTTTGGCTAATCTTACTGACGGAGGAACTCAAGGTGGTCATATTGTGTTATTAGTGAATGCGAATGGTGAATTTTCACCAATATGTTGGAATTCCTCAAAAATTCGACATGTGGTAAGAAGCACTCTTTCTGGTGAAACTTTGGCCATGGCAGATGGAATTGATATTGGTATTTTTGTTTCTACACTATATTCTCAATTACTTTCTAATGGTTGTAATAACAATCAATTACACTTGGTTTGCATTACTGATAACAAGTCATTTATGTGATGCATTTAAATCAACAAAATTTGTATCAGATAAAAGATTAAGGCTTGAAATTACTAGCATTAAAGAAATGATAGTCAATAAAATTGTTAAGGAAATTCTTTGGTGTGAGAATGATAAGATGCTGGCAGATTGTTTAACCAAGAAAGGTGCTTCTCCTTATAAGTTGCTTAAAACATTGGAGGATGGTGTTATACAATTCTAGGTGATTTGTGCCATGGAAATGTACATAAATGTATATGTGTTGAATTTTAATATTCAAGAGTTTTGTGATACCTGATATTACCAACAGAGTAAAGTAATAGAAGAATAAACAAAAACAAAACTAAAAAGTTTTGAGATGGAAAAAGAAAATAGACAGAAAAAAAAGGAATTTTATTTTTTAAATACTTTATAATGAACAAATAAGAAAAATCAAAATATTGAGATTGTTAACTTGGCTGATTGCCAAATATGGACATGGAGCATGTTTGCGTATGAGTGGCCTGAAGCGTGACTGAGTGCATGCGAGAGCGTGAGTTTAGTGGTGGTATATACAGTGGTGTAACCTATTTTCGTGGATATAAGGGTTCAACACCGAATTTCATCAAAGTTAAAAAAACGAATTTTTTTTTTAAGTCTTGGGTGTTTCCTCAGATATTCTACAAAATAATTAAAATTGGTCTATTTCGATTTTCTTTATGAATCCTTCACTTTGACCCATATTTCATGAGCAACCAACTCGGCAACAGCGGCAGAATGCGTCATCTATTTTCGTGTACAATGTTTGATCTATAAATAAGTCGAGAAAAACACGTTGTATGGATACCGGGTGGTATAATTCACTTCTCTTAGTACTTATCTTTAATATCAATTCATTATAACTAGAGACAATTCTTTCAAAGAACCACGATTTAAAAAAAAATAGTGACTGACAAAATAAGATACGTAGCGTGATTTATTGCTAAAAGTCACTGAAACAACATAAGAATATGGTCCACTTTGTGTTCCGTAAAAATTTTCTGCTGACACGGAATCCGCTAGTTTATCACGTGACTTCATTCGTTGGACTATATTCTAGCAGACGATACTTGGAATTCCGATTACCGCTTGGGATTATAAGGAAATTCGGCCAATAAAAAATGGTGACGTTTGGTAATAAGTGAAATCCGCCATTTTGTATTTGTCAAAGTATACATTAATACATTTTACCTTGCTTGAAACTACTGGATTCATTCTACTAGCTGACATTGTAGAGAAAACCCATGTTTATCAAAACAAACTAATGCGGAGGTCGCACAAGGTCGCTCATGTAAATTATTAATCCTTTCCGGAAATCCACGAATAATAGGTTACTCGACTGTAATTTAAATATTTTAATAAATTCTTAAATCATCAACCACTTTTCAATCAAGTTTGAAGAAATTCGGATAAGAAATATGAAAGTGGGCCAATCAATCCATGGGCGTGGTTTCAGGGTGTGTCAGTATTTAATCATCATCCCCAGAACGTCCTTATATGCAGTCTGGACATAGTGCATTTCTGATAGAAGTAGGTTAATAGGTATCTTTAGTTTAACCAACATATCAAACTCCTTAATTCTATCTAGACTGGCATATCACTGGAAAGCTCAGGATCTCAGCATTATGAATCCGAAAGATTTATTGCTCTATCTTTTAGGACATGTGCATTAAAGATGAAAAATCAACTTTCAGTGACACCCATAAAACCAGAACCATGTGTCGGACATCAAATATAAAAACATCAGGTGAAAGCTTTAGTCAATAGTAATTATTACTGTAAATATTAATGGGATCCGAGGTAAAGTTCTTGTGACAGAAGCAAGTTTCTAGAAAATTGCAATATTTTCTTAATGTGACTTTGACACTCATCAAAAGTGATTTAAATTGAAACCATTTTATTAAGTACATTAATAATCTGAAGGGTAGAGTGCAACATTTCCTTTATATGCCTTTGACATCATCAAATGCAGTATTATTTGCAACCATTAAATAAAGACATTAAAAATCTATAGGTGGAAGGGATCTTTATCCGTTAGGGTTTGAGATACAGCACTGTAAAAGTGCAAAGTTGACTATATTTAGACCCTATAAAATCGAAAGTTGTGGTTTGACCCAAAGGTCAATAGATCATGAGAAGGCCAAAGTCACCTTTTATCACCATTGAAAATATGAAAGTCATCAAGTCATGAGATATGAGCCTTCAAACTTCGAAAAAAATCTACCGTATATTGCGAAAAAGCAAAATTCAGAAATCAGGCTTCCAGAGGCTTAATATTTTTTATGTTCATTGATTTGACACTAAAATCATCATAAGCCATAACCTCTGAATAAAATAAGAATTTTGGAAAAATTAAAATGAGGGCCAAACTATCAATTTTTGTTTCTAATGAAAGACACTGCTTTTTAAAGTCATATCATTGTGGGACTTTGCTTTTCGTTAATCGAAAATTATTCTTTTTTTTTTTTTTTCTATTTGACAGAGTACACAGACAAAACAGTACATGGTATGGTCATTTTCGAACTATATTGTACCTATACTCCGCGGTCATTAGATTTTAAATGTATAATGGCACAGTTTTGCTAAACCGGACATGCGCAACTATGACTAACTACGGACAACACTGGAGTGTGTATTTGAGGATGCAAGATTTGCATGCGATTTTCTGCACTGTATTACATAAATGTGACATCATACTATGGCACTTAAGATTATGCAAATTTGCTATATTTTTTGCAAGTTATAATAGCAAACTCTCTTTAGTACTGTACTAAAACGTTTAGTGTGATGTCAATTGATCTGAAATTTATACGGGGAAAAATTGATGTGTTGATCTTGATTTGTTTTCAGAAAGTTTGAGGCACTATCTATCCATTGGTAGTTTCATTTTTCGTTTCTGACTTAACTTCCGGTTTTATAGGCGGTTGAAAATAGCGAAAAATTTCTTTTAACAAGCTCTAGCAGTGACCATATTAATGTTAGAGAAAAAATTCTTACAGAAATGTAATGTAGGCATTCAGAGCTTCCTAACAATATATAACATGCATACCTTACATGCAAATTCAAAACCCCATTCACTTAACATGGTGCAATCATTGTAAATACCCAGTCAACACTTGTTAAATCTAATTAAAATCAAAATTCCAGATGTTCATTTAAAAGATACTCTTTTTTCGTTTTGTTTAATAACGTTTTATGTCCAGTTATGGTAAATAAATAAGCTTTAGGGTGGATTGAACTTATCAATACTGAAAGTTGAGCCTACAGAAGCACATTAAAGGGATACCCCCACTTAATTTACCAACTTTCTTATTTATTAACCGATTTTCATAAAACTTGGAATGTATGTGTATAATCAAATACTAAATTCGACGGAATTATCGAATTTTTGTTCTACGCATGCGCATTACCAACATTCTTATTTCTTGTTCGAATTTCATCAAAATTGGTATGTATGTATATAATCCAATTCTATATTTGATGGAAATATTGAATTTTTGTTTTGCGCATGCACATTACCAACTTTCTTATTACTTATCCGAATTTCACCACACTTGGTATGTATGTGTATAATCCAATTCTAAAATTGATGGAAATATTGAATTTTTGTTGTGCGCATGCGCATTACCAACTTTCTTATTTCTTATCTGGATTTCATTAAATCTTGGTCTTTATTAATTGACAAACATTCTTTTATTCCTAGTCAATATACATTAAACTCTAGGCACTTTTGAATATTTGAATTTAGAGATGCAGAAAAGTATTTACATCATGTAATTGCAATAGACAATCTTCGTATGTACCTGAATGTCGTAACCCGCCCTGCATCAGTACTGTTATTAGAACAGTTCTAGTTTTTTTTTCGATTTTTACACACCTTCCTGAGCTGAGACTACAGTAGTTGCAGCAACCATTCAACATTCACGGACCTTAGATATAGGCGACGATGTGCTTAAATATATTTTGGAACTTCTTTGCAAAACCAGAAGTGCCACAGTTCAATATGTGCAAGAATAGATATTCGGCTCTAGAAGTCGTATTTTTGGGTTGATTTCCTTTGGGTTTGCATTTTTGGAATCTACTGGCAAATTCTGACAGAATAGCACTTTAAAAATTTCAAAATTCGAAAATTTGTCGCAGACATTTTTTTTTAATAAATTTTGCATTTTTTTCAACTTTTTTAATCTGAAATTTTTTCAGCAAAGAAAGATTGCTAAAGTTAACAAAAAGTTACAGTCAAAATTTTTGCATCACTTCCGGTTTAAATGGGAAATCGATTTTAACTTCCGGTTGAATAACTTCCAGTGTTATAAATAAATGTCAACAAAATTTTGCTTATCGTTATTCTACAGCCGATTTTAAAATAAAATCCATTTCGGAAGTGATACTTTGGTCACCATTTTGATTTTACTGAAATGTGTCAAAATCTATTCTGAGATAACGGCTTATCCGATTTAGATGATTTTGGTGTCAAATGAAAGAACACAAAAAATATATAACTTCCAAGAAGCCCGATTTTTTATTTTCGCTTTTGCTTTTTTGCAATTTCCGGTTGACGGCTTATTTCTCAAGAACCTTGACCTTTGATGACATTGACCTTCATTAGATGAAAGGTCATTGACCTTGGCTATCAGCTGATACTTTCATATTTGACCTCCGACATCTACTTCCAGTTTTATGGATGTCCGAAAAGAGCCAAATCCGCAACTTTGGACTGCTCTAGTACGTGACCTAATTAACATAGAAGGTTAATTTTTTCGGATTCTTAATGTGCTTTTGATGCTCTTTCCAGTGATATATAACAATTGTTTTTTAAAGCAAAATTGAAATTCGTGATTTTTTCAAATTTGAGTGTTTTGTTACAATATTTCTGTCCCTTTGAGCTTGGTGTATGTATATCTTATAACTTATTTGATGTAAAACCTTGATATTTGGAACACAACTAGACATTTTGAATATGAATTCACCTATGACAAAAAAATTGATATGGGCGAGGCACATCCGGGTTGAATTACTAATTCTTTACATTTAGGGGCAGGGGCATAACTCGCATAGGATACATTTGTTCAAAAAAGGACATTGCACACAATTACCTCATCCTTTTGGCTTTAGAATTTCCATATTTTCAATTTCTTAAATTGACCTTTGTAGGATTAATGGCCATTGACCTTGGCTATCTATTCATACTTTCATATTTGATGTCCGAAGTAAGCTTCCGGTTTTGTAGCCGTATGAATTTTGAAAGTTTGATGAATGATATCTCGTGACCTTGACATTTGTTGACCTTCCCCTTTAAAAGGTC